GCAGTCAGAATCTACGCTTCTACTGGAAGGAGTTTGTGAATGAGGTAGACGTCCTGGTGTTCATGCTGGACTCATCTGATTGGCCACAGTTGCCCAGGGCTCGGCAGGAGCTACAGAAACTGCTGGACAGGGACCCTGATCTGCCTGTTGTTATAGTGGCCCACAAGCAGGACCTGAGTGGAGCCATGAGTATGGTGGAGTTGCAGCGGGAGCTGGGCTTGCTTGCTAGTTACAACCAGAGGGAGATTTTCCTCTTGGCAGCCAGCATTGCCCCTGCAGGATCTACCTTCGAGGAGCCTGGTACTGTGCACATATGGAAACTGCTCTTGGAGCTTCTCTCCTAAGCTGGAGCCACCTGCTTGCTGCCCAGCCTTGGAGACCACAGTTCTGCTTCCTCCTGCATCTTCCTTGCCAGCCTAGGCCTTGGGCAGGAGCACCGTAGCAACACCTCCTTTGTCCCCTCAGGAGCAAGGCCAGAATCATGCAGAAGGCTTCCTGATGAGGAGGACTTTGGGGCAGGAGGTTTGTAGGGCAGAGGAGAGACGGTGACTGCTTCACCTAAGGCCATAGTGTAGCTAGCTCCAGTTCCCCTTCCTACAGCTCAGCGTGCTTAGTGCTCCTTCCCCAGGTCCTGTTGGCTGACCAACCAGTGTGGGTATCACAGGTACTCCTGGGCCTCCCATTTCACTGTTTACTCTTGGCTATATCCTACATTTTCCATGTGGGAAGGTTCTGGGTGGAGCACAGTAAATCCTTGCTCCCAGGCCCTCATCATCCTCTAGCCCCTGCTTGGTCTGTGGCCTTGTGTTTCTGCCTTTCTGGCCCCAGGGCCATCATTTTTAAAGGGAGATGATTTCCTAGATTTTTCTAAATGCCAGTCCTGGCAATGCTAAATGAGGATCAACCTGAAGACTTTAGCAAAGAATACTCTGAACACCTCCCTGCTGTTAAGGCCTGGTCTGCCAGCCTTTATTGACCACAAAGTGCAGTTCACCACACAGGGTGAAGGAGGGTTTTCCCCGGGTCTGGAGACAACCTGCTGCTTTTGGACTAACTGTGCCAATGCCCATGTTTACATAAGTCTAGAGAAAGAAGGAACCTGAGTACCGGAACAAGACTGGAGTTGGGGGGAGGGGCATCTTATTTATTTATTTATCAAAGGCATAGGCCAAAGTTTAAGGTTCTGTTTATAGGTGCTGTAATCAAAACCCTAGATTGTCATAGAAAACATGAAGCTTTGAGGATTGTCTGGAATCATGATGGTAACCTATAGGTATCAATGGAGACAGAACTATAGTTCTCCCCCCCCCCCAGCCTTAAGACCATAACTGGAGACAAGTACTTCAAGGGAACCTAGTACCTTAATTCTTCTATATGGCCCAGGACATAGGACAGGACTAGTAGAAGAGCCATCACTATGGCTTTGGGTACATCATCAAGCCTTGTGAGATCATTTATTCGCCAGCAAAACAGAGAATGAAACTCTGTGTTCTCTACAATGAACATTCCATGACTGGTGATAAATTCAAAGACAGTCTTTGTGTTGACACTGATGCAAGCAAAGAACCTTTGATCTGCCAGGGCTGCTGAATGAGAGAACACCTATGAACTGGTTTTCTTTAAGGCTTTACCCCCCCCCTTTTTTTTTGATAAGCTGTTACTCTAGCCCAGGCTGGCCTTGAATTCATGGAAGTCGTCCGTCCTCAACCTCCCATGTGCTGGGATTGCAGGAAGCATTGAGCCATCAGCCTGGCTTTCAGTTTGCATTTTGAGAAAACACTGTTTGCCAATTGCCCCACATACAACCTGAGAAGTGGAAAGCTTCTAGTTGAAGTGAGTGTGGTCATCAGGAGAGGGACCCACTGTGTGCTTGGACTCCTGCCCATGAGAGTGGAGTTACCATAAGACAAATCAGTCTCACTAGAAGTGATTTTCCTGCCTTTGTATTAAATATTTAAGGAATGACTTGGATTTTAGAGTATTTGAAATTTTGTTGGCAACTTCTCATCTTGTAATTAGGAAGTTGAGAAACTTTGTATCATTATTCTAAGGATTCCACCTTATTCTCTGTCCCGCGCGCTCTGTATTTCTCGCCAGCAAGAAATCATACACGGGACACTCGGATCCTTCTGCAGACAAGCTTTAATGCATCTTGAGAGTGAAAGAGCATAAGCTTCCCAGAGCGGAGACCCCGAGCCAAGAATCCCGTCCCCTAATAAAGGCTGGCAACCGCCGCCTCGGACATGTCACCCCATGATTGGCTGCAGCTCATCCGGCCATATGACGCCACGGAATAGGCAGAGATCAAGGAATGGAAAATTACCCAGCGCCTGCGCAATAATCTTGTTTACATTCGGTGCCTGCCGGATGCAGGCGCCATCTTGTAATGGAGAATGCAGGGACGGCTCCCTACATCTCCCACTTTTTTATTAATTAATGATAAGGCTTTATATTTTTACAAGCAAATAGGTCACCCAAATGTTGAGGGATAGAGGCAGAGGTTGTACCTTCCCAATCAAATATTAAGACTGTGTACAAGAGTCGCCATCAGGCTGTTAGCTTGACCCGAAGCGCTCTCGACCTGTCCTCTGCCGTTTTTCTGGGAAAGGGAGACTAGGGCAGGCAACCCTTATGCAGGACAACATGCCTCCCAGAGAAGCCTGCATATTGGGCAACTCTCTGTGCGATGCCTTGCTC